TAAAATATGAATAAAATATTTAATTTTAAAAATTTAATATTTGAGAATACTTGCATGCTTTTTTACTAAAAATGCTTCATAAATTTTATACAACTGATTTTCATAATAAATAACTTTCCATTTCATTTACAAGCATATTTCTTGTCTATCATTCCAGTAACTTTAGAACCTGAGTATTTCAATAGCTAGGAAGAAAGAACGCTATATAAACTTTATAAATTACCAATTACTCACACTTGATTAGTCTGTAAACTGATCAGTGAGCCTTCTCCTATCTCCACAGGGTCCAGTTGTACATTCCTAAGTTTCCGGTAGAAGAGCCTCTACTAATGATTCTGGGTGTTTAATTTCTTGTTTTCATCTTCTACGAAAGTGGGAATTTGGTGACAGGCATGATTTTCGAAATCGTGTGACAGTGCTCTTTCCAGAACGCATATTTCTAATGCGATATTCATGTCACATGGTTATTATTAAAATTTTCAACATCCTTTTAATTATGGAAACATCTTTGGAGATACACATTACTACATAAATGTGATAACAAAAATAAATAGATGCCAGCAATAAGACTATCATTTTATGCTTATAGAATTCTATAGAATGGATGAAGCAATTTTACAGAATTGATTTAAGCAATTTTTATAGAATTAATTTACGTGGAATAAACTGCAGTGTGCTCTCTCGCTGCATCTTTCTCTTTCCATCAGAAACATTCTCTGTCTGGGTCACAAAGCTTATCTATCATTTCCAGGCTTGACCATTATTTGTGCTTATTCCCATCACAGGTGGTAAAGTACTCTCCATTTTTAATGAAGCTCAAATATTCCTCATTCTAAGAGAGACCTTTCTCCTTTCTCTGAATTATTCCCTCTATCTTTGAAGTTCTCAAAGTTCATTATTTTTTTATTTTATTTTTTATTTTTTGGCAGAACCGGGGGTTGAACTCAGGCCCTTGTGCTTGCCAGGGAAGCACTTATTCCACTGAGCCATCTCCCCTGCCCCTATTTTTTAAGTATCACTACATGAGAAAAGGTAACAAATCTTATTGTCATGCGTGCTACACAGCTCATTTAGTTTTCCTAATAAACAATTCAGTAAAATTTTCTTAGATATCAAATAATAAACATTGTTAAGCGTGCTGGCCAGGTAGATTCTTTTAAATTACTTATATTTGCAGTAAGTACAGATTTAAAATAAAATTAAATGTAGTATATTTTTGGAACATTTAGATTCATTGGTCTTAATTATGTACTTATGCCTTTCTATAATATGTCCACATTTCTTGTGTAGTGCTGAACTTCTCTCTCATTAGCCTCGTGCCAAGTAAAATACAATAAATGGCATCACAATAGCACTTTTGCTTAATTAATGCTAAGATAGACATCAAAGGATTTAAAAGGATTTCTGTTCATTTCAGAAATGTCTGCTTAGTCTGCAGTGTAGCCACCAATGGACTCACACAGATACGGCAACTTTTCATAACACTGTAATTTGCAATTCCTCAGAAAAAGGAAAATTTATCCTGTACTTCGGAAATGTATTAGTTAACACTAAATTAGATTGTATTGAATAACCTAAAATCAAAGTACTTCAGGTAGCACCTTTGATAGACTGCTTCAAAGGTGATCAACTTTTAGAGACACTGAGGCAAGCTAAATGGACTTATTTGGGGATTTAATTTTCATTGTGAATAATGTGGAGGAAAATAAAAATTTCCATGACAATTTCTTAATTAACAATTAACCAAACTGTGAATTTTTTATATATTTGCTTTTTTAAAAATCTAAATTGTAAGTCCAGTGTGGCAGTGCGTGCCTATAATTCTAGTGCTTGGGAGGTTGAAAATAGGAGGATCACTATGCATCTAATCTGCGTAGTGAGACCCTGTGGGCCCTGTACTAAATACATTAAAAAATCTAAATTTTTCACATGGCTGACACTATTAAAAGACCTACAAACTGCTGCACAGGGCTTCAGAAATGTTGAGGGGACTTGACTGACCTTGTCATATACAAAAGTTAGATTTCTTTTTTATATAGGTCTTGCTTTATCTTGGTCTTAACCATCCGGCAGGAAAGCATAAAAATGAGGTACAAAAATAAAGTCATATTAATACGCTGAGCTATAAAAGGATCCAGTCAACTTCTGACTTCTGACATTCCAAGTAGGGTTAACATTTATATATAATTTTGTTTTTACTATAATGAAGTATAGGCTGCAAACAAAATTTAT